TTTCGATTTAATCTTAGCGCAGCAACTTCATTTAAAAATGTTGTGGGGTCCGTCGCGCCAAACAGTTTTCATGGGTGGGAAGGCCTACAGATGAGCATCATGTTGCCCGGCATAATCTTCAGGCATACTTGGATCAAGCACAGTGTGGAATATCAGACCTTGGAGTATACAATTTACGCTCTACCGACTGAATTAAATGCAAATTCTTTACTAATGATTTTTGATATTTTATCCGTTTCCTTGCTAACATTTTTCGGGGGGTGTTCCAGTTTAATAATTTTTAACGACAGGAAATTCGTATTTTCCCCGGTCATGTGGACAATAAGTATGTTTCTTCAACAAGGGACAAACATAGTGATTAAGGCCGGAGAAGCTATCACGTTTTCCAGACTCCGCGTCTTTATGACGTATTGCATCGTCGTGATTTGGTTGTTTAACTCCTTCTTTGTTGGAAGTATGTTTGGAGGGGAATTCTTCTCCCTCTTTTCGTCTAACAAGGTTCCCCAAATACCAAGCAATTTAAAAGAGTTAACCCAAGCGAAAGATGTTCCAGTTATTTCATTTTCAGCAACTTTCGACGTCGGGGCAGATGGAAATTATACATATTGTAGTACCATCAAAGACACCACTATCCCACAGATGACTGAGCGGGTCGGATACTCGCCGCAATTTCGCAAAGTGTTGAACGATCTGAAAGAAAAAGTGGACTGGGTTCAATTAAATTTATTTGACTATGCCGATTCGTATCGTTAGGTTATACCGTTTAATGTTAGTCACAAAGAGCACAGACCCCAAATTTTCGGCATGGTTGATCATTCGTTTATGCACCGAATTTTGGAGACCAGCTTTGGTGTGTTTAAAAAATATTTTATAACCTATAACCACAAAGATATTTTAGACACTGAGTATCTCCCGTGGGTAACATCAAGGGCGCCTTTCGGGGTAATATTTGAACAAAATCTTGCCTACCTGACGGAAGCGGGGATCGTGGACAATTGGAGGCAGGACTATCAAATATATTTGTTCCTCGATGGAGTAAAAGAATATCATGATTATTGGAGGGAATATGGAACGCCGGAAAAAAACCATACAAATTATTTCCAAAGGGCGATTCTCAACAAGAGAGATAGCAACTCAGCTGAGCTCGTCAGGGAAGGATGTCTATCGGGTTGGACAAGATTAAAATGCTTTTTCTCCTGTATGGAATATGTTTATCCATTTCGATACTTGGTTATATAATAGAAAGATGTACAGTCTCTAAAATTGTTGTCTTCGACCAGAAAAATATATGAATATGTAACATGTAAAAACAGTTATCATAGTCTTAATTAACTTATTTAGTATATAATAAATTAACGCAGATGTTACAAAATTAGAGCATACAATGCACCAGGAAAACATCTATTGGTGCCTGAAAGAAGAAGTGTGGTAACAATATTAGCGCCATAATTCGATATTTATTTTTCAAATATTTGGGCAGGGTTACGTATGTGCAGCTGTTAATTTTTTTAATAAAGTATTTATTCGATTATGTACACTCTCAATAAAGTTGACCGAAAATCGCACTAACACAACTAGTGGTGTAAATTTTAGTCAACGTTGAGAGAAATTCCTACTACGTTGCCTAAAATTTGCTCAACCTTGACTAAATTTTAGAGTGTAATATTAAGGAGACTAATACATTCATGTTCGCAATAAATATATTTTTCTACACTTCACTGCTTTAATCTATATATATATTTACAGTGGGTTGTCATAAGTATTGGTGGTGTATTTTTCGCTCGGTACCGTTTAAGATATCTGCGCCAAGGGATAACCATGGAATAAATCCTGGCTGCGGTTTGGAGCCACACTAATGGGCTAGAAGGTACATTAAACAGAATTTGAAAATGTGACTCCTTTCGTGGGAAATTAAGAAAAAACTGCAAAAATGTCATAAAAAGATGTGCCAAAAGTATTGGTGGTGATTTATTTTTTATATCTCAAAGCCACCATTTTTTAAATTCTAAGTCACCAAGTAAATATAATACTCCTTATTGTTCATTTCAATAAAAATTCTTCTAAAATGGTCAAGGCACTCAGGTTGTGCAAGACAAGAAGGGTCTCATCCACATGCATGAAAGTGCCGTTGCACCTACGAAAATTAATCTCCGGACCCCAGTTAAACTCCGGACAGTGCCAAATGTGCTTATTAAGTGAAATTGGACAGGCTGGGTGGTCAACAAAGCTAGATTAGGCAGATCAATGGCAAATTTGCCATGCCAAGGCCGAAAAATTATATTTTAACCGTTTTGTGAAGGTCCCCGAGGGCAAAAAAATCTATGATAGATTTGTGATAGATTTGTTTTGTCATTGCAGTAGGAATGAAAGTAGGGTTCTATAGCTCCATTTGGCGACAAATCCCCACGCCATCACTGAAAGTGGCTGAGATAAGGACGGCATTAGAGTCCTTAAATGTTATTGTATAAAGAATAAAAAATACCACCAGCATGAAAAACGAGTGGGACAATATCCCTTGGTCCGATGAGGGTAAATTATGCTTTTTTTGGACGGATGGACCTCACCACGTTTGGTGAAAACCAGATGAACGAATTGGAACAGATTGTGACTTAACAAAATGTGAAACAAGTTGGTAGTATTTCTTGTCTTTTATATAATAATATATGAAGAGTCTAATGCCGTCCTTATTTCAGCCACTTGCAGCGATGGCGTGGGGACTTATGTCGTCAAATGGAACTATAGAACCCTGTATGTATTGGTGGGGTGACGATCCTGCCGTAGTTAGACTGGACCGTCAGCTGCGCAAGCACTAGGGCTTATTGCAGTCTCCCCGTATACACCGCTTACTGTGCTTCTACTATAGAACCCTACTTTCATTCCTACTGCAATTACAAAACAAATTTATCACGACATTATTTTGACCTAGGACACCTTCACATAACCGGTGGCCGTTACAGGTAAATATGATTTTTCTTGCCTGGCATGGTGAATTTGCCAATAGTCGGCCTAATCTAGCCTTGCTGACCACCGAGCCTGTCCGGTTCCACTTAATAACCACATTTGGAACAGAGGTCGACGCCGAGAAATTTTCGGCGGCGGCGGCGCCAATTTTCGGTGATTTTTCGGCGGCGCGGCGGCGCGGCGCGGCGCCACAATGTTGAAGGAATAGGAAATAAAATTTTTCGGCGGCGGCGGCGCCTAAAATACTACCGGCGTTCGGCGGCGCGGCGGCGTGAGATTGGCGGCGTCGACCTCTGATTTGGACCTGTCCAAAGTATAACTGGGGTCCGGAGATAAATTTTCGTAGGTGTAACGGCACTCTCATGCATGTGGATGAGACCCCTCTTCTCCGCTATGCACAACCTGAGTGCCTTCCCCATTTTACCAGAATTTTTATTGAAATGAACAATAAAGAATACAATACTAACTTGGTGACTCCGAATTAAAAAGTTTGTATCTTTTAGATTTATAAAATCAGAAACCACCAATACTTTTGGCACGCTTTTTATGACATTTTAGCAGTTTTGTCTTAATTTCCCGCGAAAGGAGTCCGATTTTCAAATTCTGTTTAATGTGCTTCCTAGCCCATTAGCGTGGCTCCAAACCACAGCCAGGATTTATTCCATGGTTATCCCTTGGCGAAGATATCTTAAACGGTACCGAGCGAAAAATACACCACCAATACTTATGACAACCCACTCTAAATATATGTAGGCGTCATGTTATGAATGTTTTGGGAAATGGGCCCTCTTTTGAATTTGAAGCTGGCCGCCGGTGTGTTTACCAGGCATCCTCACGTGGTTGAGCGTGAGGAATCCTCACTGAGGATGCTTAAAAAAACCTAAAAAATCACAAAAAATCGAATTTTGTTCCGATTTTTTTACTCCTAGATACTTGCTTTATCATACCCAATAACAAACTCAACTTATTAGAAATTTTGCATATTTTTGAAAAGTCTAGGGTTATGTATCGAAAAAATGTGAAAATTCAAAAAAGTTGAGTTTGATATTGGATGTTATAGAGAAACTATCTGGGATCATAAAAATGTAAAAATTATTAAAATCTGAGCAAAACTCGATGTTTGACATCAGCTTTTGCACACGAGAACAGGGCTTTTTTGCGTTTTTTCACACCTTTGAGTGGGTGTGGGGGTCGCAAATGGCCCCATGTAGTAAAATCCTTCTTCACTTTTTCTTCACTCATAGAGATCTGAAACATATCCGAAGGGCATCAAAATCTGGCACTGACAACCTCTGACTTCCTACTCCTTAGTATAGAGTTACCACACGAACGGAATGGAAGAATTCCGTTCCCTTTCAATTTCTTATCGCAAATACACCTGAGGTGAGGTATGCCCGACCGGAATGGAACGGAAGCGGAATGGATTCTGTTCTCTTCGTGTGTGAACTACATTAACTATACTCGCGCCAAGGGAATGGAATTTCTTTCCCTTACCTTGATCTATACCTTTAATTTGTGACATATAGGGAATTATTGGGTGTGCCCATTTGACATGTGGTTACTGTTCTTCTAGCTTGGGGGAAGTAATGGGTGTGTCCCTTTTATATACAGTTATCGCTCTATTGGGGGGAATGGGATGGTGTGCCAGACATTAACTGGATGGCGATAACCACATCCGAATGCGGCAGACTCATTCATTCCCAAGTGCGGCCGGATAAGCACAATGAAATAAATTACTTTAATTTCCCTTCCTGATAAACAGCAAATCATGGATAACTGGATTATCGACTTTCATATGCAAATTACTTTCTCATCTTTCACTTCCATTGCGGACAAACTACTTTCACTTCCGTTGCCAACAGACATTTCCAGCTTATAATATAGATGAGAACCGGGTGCTACTGTAGCATCAATTTTCCACTTCAAGAAAAAATTGGCTAAAACTTTTAGACAAGTTATAATTTTTTCTGTTTATTACGTAATGTGAATCAGGTATACCTAAACCAGTGTGCATGACAAAATTTATTTAACATCATCTGCTTGGCCAATTTAGGAATGGGAATGACACTTCTCTTGCATATAAATTGGAACCCCGCTGCTTTCAATAAATGCTTGAAATGCTTCCCGAATTTCCCGCACCTGAACTTATGATAAAACATTTATATACAACTTTTTAATGCCTGGTTATTCAGGTTTAAGCTGCAAACCAACGTACCACACGCTTATACACGCCGCAGATTTTCACACTTTTAAATCCTTCACTCTGTAAGATAAGATCTTGAAAGGATCCCGCAAAATCATCATGCTCGACGCAAGTGTCTCTGAAATGTACATCTCGAGCACCTGAAATCCATACATACTTAATTCACAAAGCAACTTGCACCTTGATTAAAACTTAGGATTAAAAGTTTGGATTACAGTGTATGATTTTATATAATCCAGTATTATAAGCGTTTGTTATACAAAACGGTCTGCAACAGTTTACACTAATTGCTCTTGTAGCCAATCAATGCAAGAACTTGAACAATATGGGCAGAAAGCAGATGCAGAAAACGATACACTGATCAAGCGAATGTCAATATTCATTACCATTTAAAAGCGCCATGTTTTTTACGACGGCAACTAACACGGACGCAGCCGTAACACCCACACCGGTAAAGGTGACCTCTTCTATATCCCAGTTTTGGTACGGTAATAGCATTTGATCAATCTTCTGGATGGCATTGTTCCTTCCAAGCCATACCGTTAGCTCAAATTTCTTCACAAATGGAAATAGTTGAACTATCGGTTCACCGATTGTGATTAAATCCGCCAGCCAAATTCAATCAAATTCTAGTCTGAGATAAGTAACTTCTCGATGTCGCTTCCAGAGATTAAGATAAGGCGGCAAATTCAACCTCTCAAACTCACATTTGACGACGATATGTACGGTTTTCAGTGCTGGGAGGTGGTCCTCGTTGAAAAAGTTTTCAAACAAATACCCTTTTGCTGGACGGATGTTGAGAGAGACAAGTTTCGACATAATGGGAAGGTCCAGCCTCGAGTTCTACTCAAATTATCATACTAATAAACCCAGCAAATATTGTTTTTCACGCATTTGTGTTCTGTCTACCTGTGATATGTCAATTTTTGTATCCCCATCCGCGGCACTTAGTTCAATCTGAACCAAAGAATTCTTCACCTGCGCCAGCATTTTGATCGCAGCCACCAAGTCGACACATGGATTTTTAGAAGGGTTGAAGTTTTCCAACCGAATAACTTTTAGATTTTTGCATCCGTCCAAACTCGGGTAGAAAGGCGAGCTGGCTTTTAAAGAGGTCAATTTAGGTGCCGAATCTATCAAGATTTGTAGGAAAGGTTGAAATCCATGAAATCCATGGGTACTATCTTGTATAATGTAGCCACAGAAACTGAACGTGATGGAGGTCAGGTTAGCTAGAACAGCGAGTTTTTTAGTATAGATTGGTGGAACACATGGCTTGCTCCTGTAATTGTTAACGACAGATAACGAAACGTGTTGGATACTGGTCGCAGGGTTCTTGACTTTCCTCAACCCTGCGATAAATGCGTTCTGGGATCTCCTGTCAGCGACATGGAAGTCAACTTCGCGGGTAAATTGTAACATCTGGGCCAGATCTTTGAAAACTTTAGTGACAATGCTGGACTTCTTTCTGGTGGGAATGGAGGGGCTTGAATCCGAGATGGAGATTCGTCGCATAAGATGTGCAGACACGGGGGTCAGACACAATTTTGAACCATCCCAGTGGAAAAGTTTGCTGACAGAGAGCCGGGTTCGCTTTCCTAACAAACTGCCCCCGATCCCGGCCCAATTTCGGCATACGAGGCGTGCCGTCCTCAAATCGGTCGTATGAAGTTGGGTGAGAATGAGCTCGAGAATCTGGTGGACATTGAGAATGTTTTGAACCGAGTTATTCGACACCTTTCGCAATAGTCATTTCTACTCTGATTCTGAATGTATGTAGACTGAAAAACACGACGGGAACTCTATTTACATTCAAATTTTTTGAATCTAAACCCGCATTTTTCAGCCCAGTCTCATTCTTGCAGTTGAATGTAGAAATACTCGTTCAAGTTGTATTTTCAAAATCCGCGCCTTTTTCAGAGTGATTATACAACTGATACTCGCGAAACCTAAACATTCTACAATATGTGAATGTGAATGTAAATGTAGCAGAATCAGAGTCAAAATGACCATAGCTAAAGGTGTCTATTCTAGGAATTTTCTTAACTAACCAACGGATTCCGTATAGCTTTCGACATCGAGCCCATACTACCGAATGTTGGTCTGTCCCCCATTTGTATGTCTGTTGGTGTATATGTAAGTGGAAAAACAAATTACATCTTAATAGTAATTTAAAACCCTAGTTTCAAGACATCAATAAAACCGTATTTAGAATTAAACTTTGAATCATATGTTGTGTGAAATCAAAAACACTGAAATCAAAATACAATGCCATTCAATATGAACAAAAATGTGAACTTGTCAATTTTTGTAAATAAAAACTATTAAATTTAAATCTGCGCAGTTAGAGTTTCGTCACTTGCCAAATAAATTCTTGCTTGAACGAGACTCGATGTTTCAACTATACCCGTTAATCAACGTCAGTTTCAAAATCCTAAAAATTAATTAAGTATAAACAAAGAGAAATCTTTTGTTCGTATTTATTTAAGAACGCGTCCCTTGACCTGGAATTCCTGCAAATAGAATACGGATATTGGGCTTGGTTGCAAAATGGGGAGTGCATGAGATGGCTATTGCTTTTTATGTAGAGAGAAAAACTTATCTGAACTTCCTCCTTAAATCAGATTTATCTCGTTTAAACATCCCATGGTCCATAACATTTATAGTCTAACATACCAGATAAGTGTCATATCCTTTGGCAAACTAGTTGTGGCGGCATAAATAATTATTACGATGTAATAAATCAGTATGCATACATATTTACATATAATTAATGGCTAGCTTAAAATGCAGGAGACAGATTACGGGCGGCGAAATAAGTCTCAAAATAAGCACTTATTTTTTAATGAGTTCCACGAAATAGTTTTTGTGGTGCTGTTTATATTCAGTTGGTGACTCAAGCTTGGACGGTTTTCTTTGAATGACGCATCCGTCGATATGTAGACTCAATTGAAACATTTATATTTGTCGTGGCCGCATGGCAGAAAGTGGATGAGGTCGATATTCCTTTTATTGCGACATCATATCTTATCTGAGAAATAATAGAAACCCTTTTTATGTCACGATTACGGTTCCATGAAATGGATCATACACTTAAGTATCATATGCTGTGGAAGCTGTGGATAAAGTTACATAGACGTGACTAAAGTACGGTGTAAGCGAAAAATATTTGGAAGCCTGTTTTCCATGTGACGATATCTTTATAAGCTTTCCACTTTCATACGTAAAACAACTCCAAACGTAATTGAAAAGTACAGCGAGTTGAACATCATTTCCCATGGCATACTTAAGTGTTGTCAGACTTGTTTACCAAATGTATATACAGATAATGGCAAAATGTTTTATACCTGTCCTGCGATCAGGGAAGGATGGTTCTGAATATCCGGAGGAAAGTTGTAAATCGTTCGTTAATTGCAGGAAAGTCGGGTTGGGAGTGCACCTTTGTACTTACCCCCGGATACCAAACTCCCACAAATTCAGATACGTCTTCATTGGCGCGTAATCAAATAGTTTCCAGTAGTAATTCCTAAAAAAAACTTTATAAGGTTGAAATTTAACCCCTAATTCGATGGATAACATGATTTTGCGACTTTTGCGCGCAATCACCCCCAAATGTTATAGATACTTACCTTCGCATCTATGGCTACTATCTAGATTATTACAAAAATTTATATAAAAGCACATCATGTATGTTAGGTTAATAAGAGCGCTCGTTTTATTCTGACTTAATTATTACTTATTTTGGAAATCAGAACAATCCAAAAGAAATGTACTTATTTTGCAGTTTGGGGTATTTTAGGGTATTTTGTAATTGCTATGTTTCTTTATAAATTACGTCTTTCAAAATACTAACTAGTAAGAACAGTCCAACAACTATACCTACATACCCTCATTACCTGATTAATAAATACGGTACATGCAATAGTAGTCAGATAAGAATTTGTTAAACCAGTCAGTATCGTAATTTTTTCAGCATGTAAAACTAATTAACTTACTTAATTTCAAGCTGAAAAGTAGAGATGGGAGCATACATATTTATCTATGAAAGTTATGTATGTCTTATAGAATGAATTAGTTCTACTTTTGCAAAATGTCTAATAGCTTTTTTATCTGCTAATAAATTACTTAAAGTGTAATCTAGCTGGACGCCAACTTAATTATTTATGTATGTTTTTACGAATGTTTTTTAATATTATAATCTCCATCATTGGAGGTCATTTGCTTCAATATGTTTCAGTTGCCTATACCAAAATTTGATGGGAACGTCCTCCTCTGCTTTTACTTAATTAAATAGGTATTTCAGCTTAAATAAATCAATAAATGGATTGGTAATATAATTCATTAGAAAGACCGAACCAATTTCTTTGTAGCTAATGCTTACGGCTTGCTTGGGTTGGATAAAATTTAAAATATTTTAGAGAAATAGTAGACTAAAAATATAGGTTGCAAAACCTTGCCGACATCCTATCTTGCTACAAAAGCTACATTTATTTTCAGATATTACTTGCTACATATCATTTAACAATTTATTCCATAACCTGTTTATGTCATAAGACAAGATACTTACTAAAGCAGGTATACCTTGGATCGTTCCACTTGATTGTTTCATAGATACTTTGTCAAGAATCGAAATGCCGACAGATCTAATATTTTTCGTTGTGGAGAAAGCCTTTCGAGTAAATAGGTATTTATTCAAGACACCCCTTGGTTGGGATTCTACTACGAAGCGATTCACTTTTGACAACAGAAAGCCAAAGAATTTCTTCTGGTGGTACTTCACCATGTTCGTCTTATTCGCTGGGGTCAACGGAAGTTGTTTTATGTATGTCGTTTTAAGTCACCTAATTTCCCCACGGCCTGGCCTTAACGTGGGGTATGTTGCGATGTACGTTATCGACTGCCTCACCGTACCGTTATTAGGCGGGATTACTCTGGTCGTTTTGACTCTTGGCAATGGCACTGTAATTCTGATTAATCGAGAACTTGAAACGTATGAAGAACTGGAAGGACATTCAAATATGAGGAGACCAGCAAATATGACGAGAAGAGCGAAAGGGAGATTTTTCAAAACGAAATCAGGGAAAAGCGGGATTTTTGATAAACTCAATGGCATTCTGAATTTCCCAGGAATCTATTCTAACACTGGAAGATTGGATGTGTCAGGTAGTATTTAATTTTTGCTAGTTAAAATCTGGTTGCGTAACGTTATCGAGGAATGCTTCTACAGGACTCGTATATCTTATCGGTTTCATTGGATGGACGATCACGTGCTATGCCAGTTGTCCGGCTGCCTTGCTGCTAAATTTGGATATATTCAAATATGTCGTCTCTGATATGTGGAAAGCCTTTGGTATTGTTGACGATGGAATCATACCAAAGATCTTGGGCCTGTCTTTCAGGATCGCGGGGCTCCTTGTTTTCTGGATAGAACTGCAAAGAACGGTGCCATTTCTTGTTTACTTGCTCGTAATTCCAGGACAAGTCGCACTCAAGAGTATCGATATCTTCTTATCGTACGCTAAGAAAAATGTGTAAGTCACAACTATTAGGTGTCCGAGGTCCGAATGTAAAAACAATATTTTACCTTAAATAGAAATGATCCCATGGAAGCAAGGCTAGACTGGATTTTTCGCTATCAAAAGTTCAGATTAATAATTAACTCGGCCCTTGGTCATCTCTTAACCATGACATTTGTCTTGATGGTGCTCGGATTACAGTTATCCGCAGTATTAAACTAGTTGACGATTAGGTTTATCGGCTACGAAGCGAATCCCTTGTTTTACGCGATATTTCCCTTTTTTGCTATGGTTATCATGCTAGCTATTCAAATTTTGTTGCCAGTTGCGGTTGGTTTAAATTCGAAATCTGTAGAGTTCTTACGCCTAATGAAAATTGCAGTTGCAAACGAGAATCGAGACAAGAAGAAATATGTCTGGAAAACTCTCAAGGCCATGAAGGATATCAAACTATACTGCCGGATTTCGCTATACGTATCTCTTCAATTTGGATAAAACAGTGGCAAGGACGTACATGAGCACAATTATGGATTGGACGATCACACTTCTGATGGCATTTCCTGCTTCATAAGGGAAAGTCCATAAATTATGTCACGCGAGAGGGGGGAGGGGGGTCTACGGCTCCAATGATATCGTACATATGTGACACATGTTAAAAGAGGGGAGGGGGGTCTACAAAATAGCGGTTTTTGCGTCACATAATTTATGGACCTTCCCTAAGGTGGAAAGTGATATTTAAAGAAAAGCTTTCCTTACTGTAAGTATTAACTCAAAGTTTAATGAAATTAGGCTGGGTATATTATCCACCTAGTTAAACATTCTTGGTAGTATTAAAATTTCACAACTAGATATATTGTTACTAGCCTATAAGCCCGTCTTAAAGACGGGCCACATTTTGTTTTACAGTAATGTAAGAAAATTATAATATAGCGTTGTACAACTAACTGATCCCTATAAATATAAAAATTGTAAATTGACAATTTTTAGGCCAGCTTGTCCAAAACTCATTCACAACTCATTTACAGCTTATTTACAACTCATTTAAGTTTGGCTTCAACCTAAAAAGAGTACAATTTTTATATTTAAGGTAATTTTATATTTTGCTCTAAATTTTGAACAAAAAAGATAATCAAATTTTGTTTTTAGATTTGGGAAGGCCTATTCAATTTGCCAATTTTTGTGCTAATTTACCAGTCAAAAATAAATTTTTGACTGGTTGAAAAAAAATGGCAAAAGTTGACACTTACAATATGGGGACACTTCTTATTTTAAATTCATAACATTTCATTCCAAATTTATCTTTGAGTTCAAAAAGGCTTAAAATTTCATTATTGCACAAGTTGGTGAATATTTATAGTGAATTTATGGCCAACTCATCTACAACTCATTTAGATACACTCATGGGCAACACTACTTCATCGTGAAGGAAGCCTCGTTTTGCCGTAAGAGGGCGAAGCTGCACAGGTATGGTAGAATCACATTTATAACCCATGTATACCTGAAGCTCTTTACCTTCAATTTTTCCACATTCATAAAAGGTATCAATATATGTAGTTGACAACTTGCGAGCATCCCTTACCCAGCGTATTCTGCTTGACTAAATATGTACATATGTATGTAGATGTCATATATGTATACTGTAGCTGTGGTACTGTGGAATTGTAGCTGTCACCTAGTAAAGTTATGATAGTTCCCTGTTCAATCTCGTTTACTGTATTGCCTGATATAAAGCATACTTCATAAAATGCTTATGCTATTGATCGGTGGGTTGGTAGGCATTTATTGAGATGTTATTCCTTGATCAGTAGCATTTAGTGACTACTAATGACTAATTAATGAATTGTGGTGCAAAACAGTTCAACAATCCACATAGAAACATAAACTGGAATGTGCGCGAACGTTAACCTGTTTCAGTTTAATTGCTCGTTCCATAGCATCAAAGGTTGAAATCGGGTTGGCATTGGTTGAGTATGTGGGCCAGATACCTTACTCGAAAATTATTCGCATCGAAAATTTCGATGCGAAATTTTGATCCTATCAGGGGATAAAATAATTTGCATGATTATTTGTTTGTTTCGATTTTTTTTGATAAACAGACATCGTTCAAAAACCTACATGGTCTTTCGAATGCTTCTGCAAAAATCCAAAAAATGTGTCCATGTTCGAGGCGTTGTCGGTCGTCACCGAATGAAGCCCAACCTCTCGACAATTTCAAACTCGATCAAAACATTCATAAATGCTTTCGCGAGATTTGCGCCTGTGTGTAGGCCGTCTAAGACGACTAAATAAAAGGAATGGTTTTGATCTCCCAATCGTCGGAAATGTATTGGATAATTATTCCCATAAATGGCCATTGATTTGAAGAAGTCCAACAGTCAATTATCAAACAAAATTTTGCCTGAGTAGCCTTAGAGAGACAGCAGAGCCAAATTATTCGAAATACAATTTTGCATATAAAATATGTAAAACATGTTTAATTATCACATACATTTAAAATAGCTTTTAGTTTCGCTTTTACCGCATTGTAAATTTCCATTACGTCAGACTTAATTGTTGTTCGTTCAGGAATTTTTTGCTTATTTAGTATTTTTAGTATTTTCACCATCTTTTGAAATGACTCCTCTTCAACCAGCGAGAACGGCTGATCCGATCGTACAAAGAATTCTAATACCTCCAAACCTCTTGGGTGAATTTCTAAAACACAAAAAATCGAAATTTAGGATCGCGGCTTTAACTAAATTGTTATTTTTTAAAATTACTGGCACAGGCGCCACCGAATTCGAAACCATATATCGCTTAATTGAAGTTGCTTCATTAATTTCTTTGCTAATCTTGGCAGGATGTTTTTTTTCAAGTGTCGCTTCATATTGGAGGTTAGTTCTCCTTTAGCTTTGGTGTAACTTTTGCTAAATAGGAATTCGAAACAAATATAAATATTTTTTTGGAATTTATTAAGTACAAAACTTAATTCTTAATTATGTATTTACCTGCAGGAATTACACTTAAACTCGTCATCTGACACCGCTGCAAAATGCTCGTAATAATCTGATCGTAACTTTCGCTTGGCTGAGGATGAACTCCTTTCCGGTTCGACATCCTGATCAACGGTGCCAGACTTCAAACTTCATTCAACTTTCCGAAGGATGTTAAAAGCATTAGAAAAACGATCGTTTTGCAGCAGCGCTCACCAAATTTTTCCCGAAAGAATGTTTTGTAAAAAAAATCCTACATGAGTATACTCATGACTCGACTCAAACTAATTTTCCATAACTCAACTCAAACTCATTAATGTTCAACTCATTCATTTAAAAATGAGTGGAGTCATAGCCTCGGCTCAAACTCAACTCGAACTCAGTAACTCATGAGTCAAATGAGTTGACTCGAACTCATTGGCAGTCCTAAATGGATCCTTCATTTCGGGTCCTAGTAGATTCTAAAAAACATAGTGGGTACCCTAGACAGGACAATCAGTTGGGAACCTTCCCTTGTAAGTTCTCACCAAATTTATTATGCATCTTGTGCCAACACAGGGTTATTTAAATATAAATTGGACAAGTCCAATTTATATTTAAATAACCCTGGTGCCAACATATCCAATTCATTAATAACTCTATTGGTATCGATATTGGCAAGGGACATGATTCTGACATATTACGTTTTACACAGACCGTTCGTTACAATATCTTCCGTTGACGTACGATGCAGTCCCAGTCGGTCGGGGGTTTGGGTTGTTGCCGGGATAAGCATGGCATAATACATTGGGTGCGTCCAACAATGATAGGACCAAGCGATTTTTTTCTATTTCTCTTCTCATGTTATCTTGAATGAACTGATATTTGGCATGTTTCTGGACATTATCACCCTACATTATCACCAGTGCCATTGAGAAGCTCTGGGGTAAGTTGACACGAGTAGTTTATAGTCAGTGGAAGCAATACAATAACGTTAAAGCGTTAAAAAAGCCAATTTTGTTATCTTTGGACCTTGTTGCCCCCCTAAAGTTGATAAATTTGATTCGTCTCTACAAAAATGCAATTTTTAACGCTATTCGGTGTGATAGTGAGTTTGCTAAACGATAAATTTGTATTTGACCGCTGACTGAAACGAATAAGCCAAAAATGGTGAAGTGGTCCTATCATTTTTGGACACCTCATTTTCAAACATTTCCATATATCGCCGGAAGTTCGTGATGGATTTAATCCAAACTTGGTGGGATAATGTAGGGTGATAATGTCCAGAAACATGCCAAATATCAGTTCATTCAAGATAACATGAGCAGAGAAATAGAAAAAAATCGCTTGGTCCTATCATTGTTGGACGCACCCTACACTATCCCACTACAGTCCCAAAATCACGATGATTAGCATATAACCAAAAACCAACACCCAAAGTGGACAACATTAAGCTCAGTTTAGCACAATAAACTCCATTGTACACCTCACAATACTTGCATTCGTTGGGCAGAGGTAAATATCTACAAGATTAATATACCACCGGACCGTCGCAATTCTCGAAAACCAATCTAATCTAATTCCACATTGTGTTTGTCAATGACTCTTCGACCACAGATAACAAGCATCCGGCGCCGCACACTGTCAATCTGCAAATCATTATCTATTTATATAACCATCGTTCCACCGTTGGTGCACTTCGCACACCTAAATCCTACTTAATTTTGCATCAACTATGAATACGTCTATGGTACGTAAATCAATATATTTAAATACATAACACTTTATTTTGTCTCGTGTTTAAACAGGCGAAAGAAGAAAATCCGAGGAAGCCGTCAATCTATGTCTCGCTACGATTTCCTTGCCTGAGACTGCGTTTAAAAAAAGGCAAAAAATTTTTCCCTCATGATACATGGCTCGATGTTTTAAAAGCGTACAATGTGGTGAGTCCAAAAATATTTTAAGTTAACGTTGAGTTATTATTTTATTAGAAACATTTTGAACATAGCGCGAAAACCTCCGAGATAAAGAGGTATACTGCATACAAAAATTCAGGCTTAGTAATGTCCCCGAAACGAATGCGGCCCATCTGACTGACAAAATTGAAGGTTTGCGGGCTCTCTACAAGAAACAGCGCGAGTACCGGTTGTCCTGTTGTCTCATAAATATTGTGGAGAAAACAGAGGTAAAGAATCGAAGCCGTGGGCGCACCAGGTTGCCCATATTTCCTCAGGCCGATACTCCCAACCTGAGTGGAGAACAAAAATCGTTTTACGATTCTCTAGGTAGCGCCGGTGGCAGTCGAAAGTTTAATGAGGTTCGTATGCGAATAAATACCAACGTAACCTATAGCTAAATTGATAGTAAAGAGGAAGTGTAAAGTGATTATCTCCGATTGGGGGTTTTGACCGGAGTAATTCTACATATACACCGACGCACAAAAGACATGGCACACAAAGCATGGCAAAATGCTCGTTGGTTAGATTTGGCTAATTTTTTGATATATTTTAGCCCTGACGGTACTGAACAATGTTTAAGTTACCCTCAAACCGAAATTCGACCTGCATGACCTTGTTAGACGACAAAGGTCACCATGTCAAGTCTAACGTAGCCCCATAAATGGGGTGTCATTGGAAAGGTCTCGGCGGGAGGATTCAGAAAGTATATTCTTTATGGCGTCGGGGACCACCCCCTGATTAGTTTGAGACCGATGAGTGTTATTGAGTTTTGGTTCTGCAAGTATTGAGACGTTAACGCAGGAGGAGATTGAGAGCTAACACAGCAGCAGACCGACGAAACTCAATAATATTCTCCGACGTCTAAATCAGCGTGGAGTGGTCTCTTACCCCACAAAGTATATATTTTCTGAATCCTCTCACCGACCCCTTTCCAACGATACCCCATTTATGGGGCTACGTGAAACTTGACCTGATAACCTTTGACGGGTTAAAACAAAGTCATCCAGGTCGAATTTCGGTTTGAGGGTAACTTAAACATTGCTCAATACCATCGGGGCTACAACATATCAAAAAATTGCACATCGAACGAACGAGCATTTTGCCATGCTTTGTGTGCCATGTCCTTTAGCGGACCTATGTTTTTTCGTTTTCCACAGAATGCGCATGTTTACGTCTTCGGCGGGATATTAAAATTCAGTTGTTAAAATCAGGATTTTCCAAAACGCTCCAGAGATTTTTCTTCCTTCTCTGTTTAACCTTTCATATACTAAATACAATTTTTGCTCAGAACTACTTCCCTGAAAATATAAAAATTCCTTTCAATTTTTTTCGAAATTAGTAATTTTTATCCCATTGCTTCATATTTAAAAATGCAAAAAACCATACATTTTTGAAAATGTAAAGCTTTTTTGAAAATTCTCTGTTTTTACCTGAAAATTAATTTGAAACTTCCGCCACCAGCGAAAATATGTGTTTTCACGGAAACTCAAGAATAAGTGCGTGAACGATTTAAAATAAGTCCAGTCAAAATCCGAGATATTCACTTCACACACCCTCATTGTAAGTCTGCATCCAGGCCCTGAACCAGGACGACGATGCCGTTAGTCAATACGGTGATGAAGATGAAGACGCTGAGGCTGAAGAGTTTAAGAAGCGTGTTCTAGCTCGAGCAAGAAACATATCTCCGACAGACGTGAGACAAACAAGTTTGCCGCTATCTTATTCATTCACTTAATTTCTTCATGACTAATAATTAAAGTACTGGCTGGGAGGAGGCGAGTGGAATCGGGAGGACGAAGACTGGAATGATTGTAAGAGCGTGGTGAAGGACCAACTTTCTCCCCTGAACGTCATCTTTGATGATATTTTTAAATATTGATTGTGCAATTTGATGAATTCCTAACATAAATTTCTCCTTACCATATTTCTTTTAGCGAGGAATCGATATATAATCGAGTCTCTATATGTACATAGAAAAGATAAACCCGATTAGGGAAATAAATACATGAACACAGGGGTTCAATTGGTAGATAATCAAATTTACAGGGCAGTGTGAAAATTATATTTTCCCGAAAATTATCACAAGGTTTCTAAACTGTAGATCTTTATGTTCAAAATTGAGTCAGTGCAAACATCCCGATGTTGAAGTGTCCAAACGCCCTGGAGGTAGTATCTACACTTGTTTTCATACTTCCAAAAAATAATGTCCATTATTTCCAATCTGTTCTTCAGAATAAATATTTTGAATATTATTTTTATTTCATCAAACAATTTTAATCCGCTCAATAGCTTCCATACGACTATCTTTCACCCCATAAGTATATTTTATCCTCATACCTGAATTTGCAAAACAACGCAATAATACTACTCCACAATCCGGTACTCTGCACCATGCTGTATTACATAAGTCGCGTAAACAAGATCCCTTTAGGGATCGTCCATATATTACGTCATCAGAAAATCGTGAAAAAACCACCCACCCACCCTAAAATCATCAATCGTCATCACTGCTAAAAAGCACCCACCCACCCCTTATGATGACGTCAACATATTAAATCTTAAAATCCTCAATCGTTACTATGAAATTAATTATTGGTTCTTTAATTATTTTTTAACTTTTAAGGGTAGATAAATTCAGCTTTATTGACTAGTACATTTATAAGTAATATTTTGGTTCAGTTTAACTCGTTTTTAAATATTATTAACTTCTGTATTTTATAATTGTGCAGATCTTTTTATATATAAGAAATGCACAGACAAAGTTTCGTTTAATTCAGTTTAATGTGATTTCATATTTCGCCCCACATACTAAGTTTAGAGAGAAAAAAATCCTTTCATTCACGTTAACTCATTCATATTCATTTACTATCATAATCACTTGTATGAATGAAATTGAATATGTAATGTTGTAAATGAGGGTGGCTCAAGTGAACTGTGAATATATAGTCACTAACTTGTGCAAGACTGAATTTTTAAGCATTTCTGGAGTCTCAGTTAACTTTTATTCAAAATCTGATCTTTTAAATTGTGTGCGTTTCCATAAAAATAATTTCCTGGTCGGACGAGTTACATTCTCCTAGGCATAAGAAAACTTTATGTTTTCCATATTTCTATTAGAAATGGAAATATTGTTAATTAGGAAAACCTCAGTTTGTAATTTTTCATAATTTTTATAATCACTTATACAATTTTGATGGTAAAAGAGTAGGTTTTAATTTAAATCAGTAGATTAACAATATAATGCTTTCTTTGTTTCATCAAATGGGTGTTATTTTTTGGCGAATTTTTTTCGTCAAAGCGGTTTTCGCCAAACTGTCCCACTTCCATTTTTTCATAATTCGAAATTAAGAAATTGAGTTCAAAATTGAAATTTTCACTTCCTATCAGTTGTAACTTCAAATTTGTAATTCAAAAGATTTTTGTGGTTTTTAATGGAAACGTTTTATTCGCAAATTGATCTCATAATTTTAATTTTCTTATAATTTTTTTATAATTTTCTAATAATTCGAGATCATGAATTTAGTTGTTCATTAAGAAGTTTTCGGCAGAGGAAAACTTCCTCATGAAATAAATTATCTTGACTTACCAAAAACAAGGAATAATTTTCTACGATAGGGGTTCTTAACGTGTGAAAAATTATGAAATTGAAACAATTTTTACGAAAAACGGGAAGTTTAAATAAACGTCATTTTACAATTTTGTTCATAATAGTTTAAAAATTTTAATTAAACTTAAGTTGGAAAGTGTTTCTGGTTTACATAGTGAGCAAAATAGTAATTTTCTACTATAGACAATTTTCTAATGAATGACCAGAGTCCGGAAATGTATGTATTTTCAACTTATTCAATAACAACCCGATTGAATTGAAACTTTGGGATCTTGCTTATGGTCATGCATAGGTCACAAGGTCAAAAAAATATTTTTATATATTTTGCATATCTCGAGGTTTTGGTACATATAAATATGTTGTTACATATTTAAGCGATTTTGCTAAAAATGTACGTTTTTTACCGCACATAAATATGTTTTTACATATTTTGGCGATTTTGTCAAAAATATATATTTCTTTGAGACACATACATATGTTTTTACATATTTCAGCAATTTTTCCAAAAATTAATGTTCGTTTTTAGCCCGAACCTGGGCTTATGTACCCGTTCTGTCCGTCTGTCTGTCTGTGTTGCGATAACTCAAGAACGCTTTGGCCGATTTGGATGAAATTTGCATCTATGGAGTGTGACGTGCTGTATAGTTTTTGGGGTTGATCGGCCAAGTGGTTGACCGGTGGGGGTCAAATAAGTGGGTGGGGTATTATGCACCAAAATTTCAAAATTGTAGTAGAAAGCTGAAATTTGGCACATAGCTAGGTAGGGGGTCCTAATGGAAGAATGTGAAGTGAAAGTGGTAAAATTTTGGTCTGGATGGACCCTACGGGGTGACCCATACTGATTTTTCAAAATCATCCAATTAAGTTGAAATTTGGTACGGAGGATGCTAATGGCTGCTAATGAAAGAATCTAAAGTGAAATTGAATTTTTTTTCAACCGAAGGAACCCTATGGGCTGACCCATACCGATTTTTTGAAATCATTCAATCGAGCTGAAAATTGTTACAGAGGTTCCTAATAGCTCAATACGGAAGATTATGAAGTTAAATTTGAAATTTTTTTGACTGAAGTGACCCTAGCGGAAGACCCCCACCGATTTTCGGAAATTAACTTAGAAAGCTAAAATTTGAAACAGAGATCCCTAGTGCTTTTTCATACAATAACATCAAGTTAAATATGAACAAAAAGGTTACCTGAGAGTCACTAGGGGATAACCCATACCGATTTCTGATATTCAGTTGAAATTTGGTATGAAGCCGAAAATAACTATGATTAGCATTTAGGTGGGATAAATTTCTAAATTTTTATATGGGCGACCTCCACTGATCATAATAGGAAGTAGTCGGGTGAAAGAACAATAAATATGCTTAGAATTTGGGGGGGCAAGTAATACGAAGAATTGACCGGTAGTTAATGCAGAAATTAGTGACAAATAGTAGCATATAAATTTATATAAACCTACGGACAAATATGGGTGTACTAATAAATCCTGGTTCGGGCTAAGCAAAGCTGTACTGATAGGTTATTTCAACTTTGGCCTAAAATATTTTGACAATTTCCAATTTGCAATCATCGCACAAACTGCCTCAAGACACGTTGGTTGTATTGACTTGGACCACATAATTCCAAAATTTTAGCCAAATCGGAGAGTTGCACTTCACACCATCGCTCTGTAAGTTTCAACACCCAGAGGAACTTAGACTCCATAATTTGATGCTATTAGGAACTTGTAAAGTTTTCAGATATAATTGAATAATAATACTTTCTAGCGGAATTTGTCGGTTATATTTCTTAATTTGTGTTTTCCTTTCTAGAAGGAAATTATGCTGGTGGACTGATAACAACAACAACAGGAAATAGGCATCTATATAGGGAATTAAAGAATGATATGCAAAGTTGTTGTTGAAGATAACCGTGTGGGTTGTAAAATTATGAGGGATTACAGTGTAATATCTCATAATTAACGACCAGCTATTCTGTTCTCCAAGTGCGACATGAGGCTCAAATGCTGCTTCCCAATTTTTAGTAGCAATGGGGCCTCTCATGCAAATAATTTTTTTAATACGTATTAATATCCATAATTTGTATGATTCCAGTTTTACGAAAATAATTAGTTAAAACGACAACCAATTTTCTGCGAGTTACTTCTGTATACTTATATCTAAAATAAACAGGTTCTCTAATTTGGAATATATATGAATAAAAGCGTAAAAATGAAGAGTACGCTTTTATAAATAAATCCACCTTCATGTCATGCATATCTGCTTCTGACGATTGGCAAATTTAATTATTTCACCTGCTATTTGTAATTAACTGGTCTGCCTTTTTTCACCGACCGAATTACAATCGTTGAGTTTTGTAGTAATTGCACAGTAAAACCTATATTTTATTACTCACTCGACTATTTTAATGACTATGAGTCATGGTCTATGACAAAAATAAAACTTCCCTAAAGGGAAATAAGTCATACTTAAATACTATGTAGTTTTGACGGAGCAATTCCTTATAACACGCTTGAAGAAGAAAATAGCAGGTTGACTTACCTTTAATATGGGTTAATTTTTCACCACGTTTAAAATGATGGAGCATAATTAAGTGAAATAAGACCCTTCCTCCAAGGGAAGGAGTTCCTGCAAAAGGGTAAACTTTCTAGGCAACCACTTTCCTAGCTTGCCTTCAGAAAGTCATTCACCCTCTAATGCGGTCTGTTAAGCCTCTCAAAATGGAACCTTTTTTCAAGCTACACCAGGACTGTCAAGCGAGTTGTGTATACCAAAAAATCAAATCTAATATTAGTAATCATATGGGAAAAGGAAAAATCATCTACCGAAATGTTAGAACTTTAATACTGAGCTATTACTAATTTTTTTTATACATGGTATTACTTATCAATTCCACTTTGGTAGAGTCACCAATACCACTGTAGGAATGAGAAATAACGGGTCTTGGCAAAAATATAGTAACCCGGCCAGAATCGAACTGGCACCACTCGATTACCGGACAAGTATTCTACCTTTAAACTACGAGGACCACATATGATTGCCCCCGTCAAATCTCACTCACACTCTTTTAACTACACTACATATTTTCCCCACATATGATCCTTCGGAAATTAGTTCGGTCATATGTGGGGAAAATATGTAGTGTAGTTAAAAGAGTGTGAGTGAGATTTGACGGGGGCAATCATATGTGGTCCTCGTAGTTTAAAGGTAGAATACTTGTCCGGTAAACGAGTGGTGCCAGTTCGATTCTGGCCGGGGTTACTATATTTTTGCCAAGTCCCGTTATTTCTCATTCCTACACCACGACGTAGAATTATTTTAATACTGGATTTCTAAGAGTGTAAGTCTACAGATTTTTAAAAGTTTACCTAATACAATGTGTTTGAAAATCTTGAGGTAAGTCCAAAACTACCTAGTACTCGCTTAAATACTGACACAAGAACAAGTCATTGTAGCGAACTCACAATGGAGGTCTCCCAACGTATGCTCCCAGATTTGGACGAAACTGGTGTCAATCGATCACAAGTTTAATTAGTATGAAATTTGCAAATGCAACTATCTGCAAATGGGCAGGTTTGGCGGAGATATTTGCATAAACAGAGGCGAAAACGCACCCAAAATGCCACCAATTTTACATTTTTCG